TTTTTTCTTTGTAGGGGGATCGAAAGCTAGACTTTTTTTATTGGAAGGAGCGATGAAATTAGGTGTGATCTATCGTGCATATAATCTTATTTTTTCGGGGGAAATCTTACGAGTTTTATTAATTTTAATTTTGTTCTTTTATCATTTTTTATTATTATTTGTCAAAATTAATGTTACAAATGACAATTGATGTCTGAATTTTATGCCTATCGTCCAAGTCAAACCTTTAATATTATTAATTTTTTTTATCTGGAATACGAGTATCAAGATCTGACAGGACATCTATATTAATTCTTAAAAATGGAAAAATGATTCGCAAATGACAGGCTGTCAATTGAACTCGCTAAATACTTCAATACTCATGTCTTTGTTGCATGCAATCATTCATTTCTCAAAAGCATCCTATCTAATCTTCCATTAGTTCCGTAGCTCATACACGAACTTCTTCGTGCGCTCGTGTGTGTGTGCAGAGCTCGAATGTCGCGAATGTTGAAAGCAAATCACCAATAAAGAAGCTAAATGATGATTGACAAGAGAAGCGAGTAAATCCCCATAAAAGGAGGGCAAGTCGCGCGAGAAAAGAAAAAAGAAATAATGAACGAGCGCTTCATCAGCAGCAGCAGTATCGTGCGCGCGAAGGAGGCCTGGCAAAACAGAAGAACATTTCACTCTCGCTCGACCTACACACGCGATCCGCGCCTTTGAATCCTTAATTCCCTTTTGAAACTCTCATTCTGGGAGGCATTATTCGCGCGCAATGCCGCTGCCTCGGATGACGTATTCAGCGAGTTTTGTATGGCCCGAGCAAGCAGCGCTCGCGCCCCTGGTGTTCCGCGTACGCTCGCGCATGCACTGATCATTCAAACTCGCTAAGGAAACTCCTCTTCTAGTCTTTCTTTTTTTTCCTCGTTTGACGATCAATGAGCATAGTGTTCCTTGCCATCGTGCCATGTTCTATATCGACGGATGCTAAGTATTGTTCGTATTGTTAGCTACGTTGAACATTCATGTTTTCACTGTAGTTTTACGATATACCTTTATTTCCATTTGCTATTGTGATTCCAAAATAAATTTCTAAACTTGATAAATCACTATCGCAACTCAAATTTCTGATTATATATTCTACTCCTTGAACGGTAATCATAGTAATCAGTGAAGTCCAACTAATAACATCATCAGCTGATACTCGTAGAATATCTTGGGCATAACTGTTATTATCAAATTGTCAAAGTTACGTTTAATGTATATATGTATTACTTGTAGGCTATAAACTGAAAAAAAAATATTTTCCTGTACGCTTGTCAAACAGGAGATACCCAAGGTTCAGGCTTCGCGACAGAAAAAAGGGGAGAAGGAGAAAGCGCGCAAAGATCGCATGAGCTTGCGCGCGCGACATTCTTGGGCGAAAGCAGAGGGAGTAGCTAAGGCCCACATTGATGTTGTGGCACGTTCCATCGGGCACACGCACAATAGGTAGAGCCGCTGTGAATAAGTATAACAGACAGACGCAGCGAGAGAGAGAGAGAGAGAGAGAGAGAGAGAGAGAGAGAGAGAGAGAGAGAGAGAGAGAGAGAGAGAGAGAGAGAGAGAGAGATGTACACACACAGGTGTAGTAGAGAGCATGTGAATGAGGAACCCATTTGATAACACGCCTCCGCGCACAAGTCCATTGTGCTTGCTTCCTATTCACAGAGATTTCCCATTTCATCGAACGCAACGCGTGTATATATATAGATATAAATTTAGTCCTTTTCTTTCTTCTTCTGTGCTAGCTTCTCTCTCTCTCTCTCTCTTTCCCTCGTCTCTTTGCGCCTATATACTTCGCTCTCCTTTTTTCGTCTACTGTGTTGGCGCGTCATTGACTCCGACACTTTTTTTCTTATTTCGCTTTTCTGTCGAGGTTTCGCCCATTTGCACTTGAGCTTAGTTGTGGATGTTAGTCAAAACTGAAAGTTGCGCGTTTAAATTCATGCATCGGAATGCTGGTTGCATCTTGTCGAGTGTAATTTATTGCCAATTTGTCACATAAGACTGTAGATTTCGTGCGAGAATAGGTTGTCAAACAGCAGATCAAATGTCATCGAATGCTATTGTATATTGCCATCGCTGTAGCTATTGAAACTGTAACTTTTAGTTTTAGTTTATTGGTTTCACGTAAAAGATCGTCTGTATTCATTTACATAAGCCGCATTTGTTTACAGTAGACACATTCCCGTATGCATTAAAAAGAATTTTTCGAGCAACAAATTTGGAGGTATCTATCGGATTTTGCATAGAGTAGCAATTAATATGTTACCGTCGTGACAGAGAATAAAATGAAGTCAACCGACGTCAATCACAGCCGAGCTGAGTTCGCCCACACACGGAATATCATCGCGCGAATGGTTTTTTTCTTTTTCGTCGAGGCTGGAGATATAAAGAAAAGCTTCATCCATGGAGCATAGAGCTAACCCAGCAATCTCTGGGGTTGGCCCCGCTATGTGCGGGCGTATACACATCGACAACAATGAATGAGAGAGAGACAAAGGCATTGCACAATGCTGATGTTGAACGTCGACTGATTTCGACGATTTTTGGCCTTTGCGCAGAGAGTGAGCGCGCTCGACAATCATTCCCGCATACGTAATCATCGCCGACCCTTTATCTCTGCTGCAGCGTTGGTCCTTCTCTATCTCTCTCTCTCTCTCTCTCTCGTGTGTGTATTGTGTTGGACGCGATTCTACGGCTCTTTTGCCAGAGGCTCTCACTCTCATGCCACACGCCGCTACGCAACTGTGACCGACTTTTTGCAAGTTTTTATCTCGTCGCTGTTTGTCTTATTCTTTTTTTAGTTTTCTAAGTTGAGTGAACAATTTTCTGGGAATAGGTATCGTACACTTACGCTAAATCACTTGTTAACGACAAAGTAATTAAGAGTATTCAATTTTTCAAACAATGTCTGTAATAATCTTTTTTCTAGAGTTTGAGAGTGTTTTTAATCATTTCTATCTAACTTCATAAGCTACGATTTGTAGCAGATCTATCCAAAATTATTAACCAAAATAATAGGAGCATTATGATTCTTGACTCTAATAGTTATGAAAAATTAAGTATCATAAATTTTTTCTCAAGAATATCTTAATTACAGATTAATCATACTCGTGTGTGACCCATGAATGCAATCCCAATCAATAGAGTAAAATCACCATATATCTCAATATTTTAGATTTATTGCGGTGTTCCTGGTTTTAGTTAGATATCAGATCAACAGGTGAATGGAGTGATATTTTATACAAGGTTGTAATAAAAAGTAAAAGTATTCTATATATTTTAAGAGAACGTAGATGTTTACTATATAGAAATATGCAATCTAATTCAAATTAATTAATAGATACATTGATGTTTAACTAAAATGTCCAACTCGCAATGCCTACATAAATACAGCCCGCTCAAACAAATGAACAAATAAATGAACAAATAAATGAATAAACAAATGAAGTGAAAAGAGCTTCGTTTTTTGTTCAATATATGATTCAACCGCAACGAAAAGATGTATCAGGCAAAACTCACAATCGAAAAAAGAAAGAAACAAGTGAGTGGCCTATCGTCACGTAGTCGAAGAATGTATCTCATGCCGCAATCAGCTTGAGGTCGCCGGATGAAAAACTCGCAGAAGAAAAGCACACGCGATGATCGCGTCGATTGTTTTGAGCGAGCGGACCGTTTGCGGAATCACCGAAACAGTCGACGGGAGCGAAAAAAAATTGCGCGGGAGGGAGAGAGGGAAGCTGAGCACCACTGCTGGGACAGTCGCACCTGAATAGATACATTGTGCCGGTGCACCCTATTGACGGCCGATTGTTCCCCTTAACAATAACAACAATATCTGAATAGTCGCGCGAGTGAGAGCGAGAGAGCACATCTCGCGCGCGAACACATACACACTCTATGCACATTGCGTGTACCGTTTGCGCGAGCGGGCTTTCTGTGTGGAATGTGTCTGTGAACTATTATTGTTGTTCGCCGTGTTCTATTCTCTTTTTTCCTTTTTGATTTTGCATGTGTTTTTTTCCCCGCCGCGAGGATAAGAGGATTTTCATTTTAATCGTAAATATTTCTTTTCCATGACAGAAAGCACTATTTGTTTTGTTTTATGATCAGTATAAGCGATCGCAATCACTCAGCGTATGAAATTAATTTTCTGAGCCATGGAATAATGTGTTTTGCCATAATTCTGTTTTTCCTTTATTTTTATCTTAAAAATAAGGCTTTATTAATATAAATATAAGCATTGATACGATTTATAATTGATTGATTGTACTAGGCTCTATAGTGTAGACGATGTGTGCACTAGGCTCTATAATTAGACGACTATAGTGATTTATTTTTGTCTTAAAACATGTTTTTTTTTAACGATCCATTGACTATTGGTACTACTACTAAACTGCGCCTAATCATTTAATCTAGAGAGCATTATATTTTTTATGTAAATATTATTTAAATCTTACTATTGATGAAACAACCAACTAATAATAAAATAAATTCTGCTCGGATCTAGATGAAAAATATGTCTATGCCTATTTTATTCTTGGATGTACTTACCTTTGCAAGCTAAGCGACAATTGAAATCTAGTAGGATATGGCGTTCAAAGCCCAGTTTGCGATAATGGTATGTGCTGAAACAGCCTACAGAACACTCAATACATCATGACTCCTTGCCGTTTGAGCAACGACGTCAACGATTAGCTATTAGAATTATACTGCATTGCTTTGACCATTAGTTTGTATTACGTATATTGTAGTAAAATTCAATGGGATTTTCGTCATTGATGTTGAAGATTCATTAGATGTTGGTGGTTATGTCTGATAAATTTTTAAGATATAATTTTGGCATTTAGATTGTAAAATAAATTCTATATCATTGAAGGGGATATGAAACTACTCTATAGTTTGAAAATTTTCCAATTCATGTAAGAAAAGAGGTAAATAATTTTTTACAATACTTAAGTAATATTTCGTGTTTTTATTGTTTTAATCTTTCATCGATAAATTCTCTTTTCATCCAATCTCTTATTCAACAATCAGCATTATATTTAGCATGAAAATTCATAACATTTTATTTATTTCATACATATTTTTTCCTGAACATGAAGTAACAAAATTAAAAGTAATTCTAATTATGCGGGATCAGATTAATGAAGGTACTCAAAATAAATTTTGATTTATTTTGAGGACCTTTATTTATGTTAATAATTAATTACATGGTACTTTATTATTACGTAGTTCATGAAAATAATATATATTACAAATAAAATGCTGTGACGTACAAGTTTATGCTATATTCGACGCTTCTCGATGATTCTTTTGTATGATGAAACTAAAAAACCAATTTGTCGCAAAAAACTATCCAAAGTTCGCTCATGATGTATATAATTTCTATTCCGACGAATTGACTAGTTTTATAAAATATGTACGATTTTGAAAGCGTAAATCAGGAATTTATCGATAATTATTAAAACTTCCACATCCGCTTAAGAAATCATAATGTAAAGTAAATATACGAAGTTGATGTATTAATTGTTAATGTAAAGTCTATGGTGTGCACAAAAAGTAGCAAGAATACATTTGTATTGCTACAATATCGCATTGGTTGTTTTGGTGATTACTATTATAATTGTGTTTTAATAAAAAATACAGTAATTAGAAGGCAGTTAGTACTCAAAATTTATCGTTGAAAATTAAATTCATGAAAAAGTCCTAGTTCATTCTAATGATGTATCACTATAAACACAGTTGTCGAAACCAAAGTTACGAGATTTGTGTAAGCCAATTTAATGTTATTGTATTCACTATACACTCGCTCATTCATAAAAAGTTTTACGTTCCTTAAATTAACATATATACACATTTTTCACACTGAAAGTATTTTTCACATGATTCGAACGTAATCTACAAAAGGTTCATTCTTTTCGAGAATATTTCTCGAATATTTTTTCTTATTGTATTCTTCAAAATATCGATATATTTTAGCGTTCGCAAGTTGAGTCTTTCTTCATCTAAAAAACGATGAATAATTATCTTATACCACAATCGTAATCCTTCCGTGAGGATTTCATCTGCAAAACTGAATATATTCAACGATACATCGTCAATAAAATAAACTTACATTATAAAACTCAATCTAAATCCTATAAACAGGATTTTATGTTAAAAAAAAACATTTAGCGACAGTGGTCAATGAAATAGCTTAGAATCGTCAATAAAAACGATAAAAATTCTCTAAATATTTAATAGAAACTCGAGTACTCGTATCAAGAGCCATATGAACTAAATTTCATTATCATTTGTATGAAGAAAATCATAACTTTTACATCCGCTACACGAGTCAACGTCTCTTTTACGGAATATTAACTTTCGAATTTGGGAATCAAGCAGTCATTAAGCTCGCTAAAACCGCAGTTAGAACAAGTGTTCTGGAAATAAAAAAAAAATAAATTACACAGCTTTAGCGCAAACTTTTGATCATGAAAATTCAATTATCTCACCGGTGTAGTTGAATAGATTGGATCACATAAGTTCAATACTTCTGATGGAGCTGCGCAAAGGTAATGGGCAGGCACACTCCGTTCAGTAGACGAGCTGAGTTGCCAAGTGAAGGGTTTGATATTGTTCTTAAGATCCAGAATATTTCGTCCGTTGTGAATAATTGTTAAGAGAGATTCCTCAGATTGGTCTTGGTCTTTTGAATTTGACTGAGAAAGACAAATACAAGTAAATAATAAATAACTTGACAAGACAAAAAATATATATATAGAGTAATCGTAAATGTTCAATTTTAGAAAAGTAGTTAACACCGCAATACAATGTTTCGAAAGTTTTATGCCGTGTCTATTTCCTTGTATGTTTATAATACAAATCATTGTAAATATGAATAACTTGTGATAAATAATAGGTACATTTATTTAGTCATTTAGTTCCCATTAAAACTTAACATGTAAATTCCAACATTATAACATTAAAAAAATCAATTCATGTAATTATTTATTTACCAGTAATAAGTTTAGATAGATGAGAATGAGCATTTTTTTCTAACAATGTCGAACAAGATAAAAAATGTATGACATCGCATGGAATTTGACAATTCGAGGTTTGTAAATATTAATTACTGCAGGAAATCGTTAACACCGATCGATTCTTCAATGCGCTTGCAAATTCAATGGGAAATTGGAAATGTTAATAAATTACCGATATTCCACAATAATTCGCAGTTATGAAACCAATACACAAATAACCGTATCACTAATCAAGGTAATAAGAGCTTAATCAACTCGCACGAAGAGATCGTGTTGTGAAAATTTAAACGCACGTGTAACTATACCAAGTTATTTGTATAAGTCTAAACATTCCAGACAATAACAAAGTTATAAATGTTTACCGTGCTACTGCTGTCGCTGCCAGTGTCCTTGAGCGGCCGTTCGGACTCGGCTATGATGAAGCTTTCAATTCCACTGGACATGCTGCTCGCAGGTGACATAAAATGCCACTGGTTAAGTAATATAACATGCTGAAAGTTTGGACCGAACGTGTGATACGCTCGAACGCCCATAAACTCCTCCGAGTTTATGTCATGCACCTCGTTCATTGCTAATGTAAGCGCTGTCATTGCTTTAGTGATCTGCAACAAACACTGCAGAGCGTCAATACATAGTTAAAGCCGATAGGTTGATGTACTGCATAAATATGCGCTTGCGAGTCAAACTCAAAAGATACTTTGAACGTTTGCAATTTAGATTTGAGACACGGAAAAGGAAAATAAAATCACGCAGGATGTAGACATGAGCGAATGTCACGAAATAATCCACAATTCTGTGAAACGCTATTTCAACTCCAAAGGCACTTACAATGTCGAGCGATGAAAACTGTTCACAATCTTGAACGTAATTAGCAAAACGTACGATCACTTTCGTGTTGATTCGGTGACTACCGGTGAATCGGCAACGACTGATTAGCTATGCAAGAGTCTTCTGATACATTTGCGCCGAGATTCTTCTTCGAATATTTTTGATTGAAAGTAATGCTTATACTATTCGGCAGTCGGTAAATCGATGATCACATGAAAAACTATCCACCTTATTAGGTTCTCTGATACATAACATTGTATTATACTTATACAATATACAATTGTATATGGATTGCATTTAAATATTTAAAGAACTATAATAAGTTTATTTAAATGTGTTACATATAGTTTATATGTGACATTGTAGGATACTTGTCGGTCGCTTTTCTATCTGAAGTTTAGAGTATAATGGTAATGGTAATTACTATAGCAGCACGAACGAAGAATGATTAAACGATGATTTTATGATTTTTACTTTGAACAAATACATATATTTGTAATAATAATTATTGAAGCTTGTATCTTTGCTGCCCAGAGCTCAGATATTTATGCAAGAGTATTCTAAACAGTTATTAAAGATTGTTACACATACTCAGACTAAAATTAGCCAATATCGCATGAAATGTTAAAATATTTCAAATTTTGCTACCCTTATCCAAAAGCCTCCCTCGTTTCGAAAGGCAACGGTGGCGCCATCTTACGTGCTCTGTCAATACCCTGTTTTACAATGCTATCCGTTCTCAGTTATCGACCACTTTATAAGGTTCACGAATCTCTCACTAGATGTCTAGAATTCAATTCCTGCAAGTAAAAGAGTATTTTTTTATAAAATAACATTCATTTCGGATATTGAAACATTATACAAAACTTGGGCAAGTGCGAGCCGTTAACAAAAAATTATATATGAAAAGATAAATATGAAAGAAGAGCGTGTTTCGACCTGACAGGATGAAAAATGTACTCGCGAGTAGTGAAAATTGAGTTCACTTAGTATATAAGGCCACTCGTTAGCTGAGCCATGGTGGTCCGATGCTACTCAGCGGCGACTCTGGAATCTTGTTGCCCCCCTTCTCCCATGCTTTCATTGTACTTGAGAAAGGATTGATCGAGTGCACATACGGGAGAATTAGGAAGAATGTCAGATATGATGTTCGGGGTACAAGATTGGAGGCAGAGTACGAGGCTATAAAACATGGCTTCGATGGCTGAATAACGACTATGACCATTTTTTTACTAATAATTTACACAACCATTAAAAACACTACTGTGTACAACTAAATACCACCTTGGTCTACGTAATAATTTCTAAAATCGTTCATAATAATTGAGTGTATTATATTATAACGTTATAAATGAACGATATTCTGTTACATTCCTCTTGTACGAAACTAGTGTCGTAAAGCACATCTCTTGCTTGAATTCAGTAATATTCATTTTCATACTTGGATCAAATTGAAATTATTATAGGCGAGATAAAAGAATTCTGAAATATACTATACATACATTAGACAATTCTATGCTTTAAAACGCTTACCATACATTGATATTAATTGGGAAATAATCCAATCACGTTGACATTCGTCGATAGCGATAACTTACAATTCAATAAAGTAACAAGTTCTTAGATGTTTAGCTACGTATAGATAATATGAGCAGCGCACCAAATGAGTTGTTCATTTTTCATTTTTAGATAAATAGAACTGTCAGATGCGCTTAACAATTTAATTTTGTTTATTTTTTAACATATTGTTTGATGACGTCAAACTTTGCGTAGAATATCTCTATATCAACATATATTTTTTTAATTTAATTGTTTTTTAATTGTTTATCTGCGACTCTTTAGAGACTTTGTTTACATTAATAAATTAAATTCCAAAAATTGTTTGAAACAAATTAACGGTAATAAATGCACCTAAATCAATTCGTAGAAATTCAAATAGAATATGATTTATAATTCTTTTCATTGTTGGTAATTAGACCGTTGAGAGAATATGGGAATCATTGTCTTTTCAATACCTACAAATTATTATACTTATTTAGATTAATATAGAATATTAATAAATGTAGGATGCTTCGATCTATTATTTAGAGTCGAGTTTCTTATAACAGTGAATGACCCATGTAACTGCATTCAGTCGATCAGATCACAAATAAAATGACTTCGCTCAGCAACTCATCACTTTTTTAAATGGAAAAATAACAATAATAAGATCAGATGCACTTTGCGTGATTTTATCTTCTTTTCCTTTTCTTATTTTTATATTAATTAACTTATTTAACATAAATTACTTTTTTCAAAGGTGGAATTTTCAATCATTTTACAAACCATATTATAGCGGAAAATGTGTCTAAGAGATGAAACACATTTTCAAATTCATGATTTATCATATCGAAAATTACAATAAATAATTTTTTACAACCCCTTACCGTTTTGAGATAGATTTCATGACTTTCAAAAATTTGAAAACCTTTTTTTCATATTACAAAGAACTTTGACAATAAGATAAATATATTAACTTTCTGAAATTTTGATCACAATGATCAAAATATGTTCAGCCTTTCTTATCATTTTCTATGTTGAATCAGTATTAGATACTCCTAAAATATACTCTCCCAATTATTTCCAACTTTTAGCAACAGATAAGCTTAGGGTCATGAAGTTAGAAATTTAATTCAAAGATAGTAATTCTCTATTGTAATTGTGTTGATAATCGATATTTTTACTCTTAAAAAAATTGAAATATCCGTGAATAGTTTTGTTCGTTTTACAATATCTTTAATTTTTTTATTTAATATATAATATACCAATTGCGTATATCCTATGTACTGAATGATATCAAAAAATTTGTCAGTGAATTCTTATATAATCTGGTTTCATAATTTTCAACATTATAATCTATTTTAAATTAAACATTTTCACTCATTTTGATATAACCAACCAACTATAGAATTATTGTACGTAATACATTAATTTATAGAATATTTATCCTCCTTATTTATGCTTAAAACATTACTGAGAATAATACTTTATAATTATTCAATAAAAAATTCATGTTGTAAATTAGATTTTTCTACGAGGTTTGTGAGCGACCAACCACAGTTAGTGGAGCTACCCTAAATTAATAAATAAAAAATTACTTATTCATGTTTATATTAAAATATTTCAACAACTAATTTTGTAAAATGTATGTATGAGCGTAATATTTATGACAAATTATTATTCAAATTTCATTCAAATGAAATCATTGGCACTCATAAAACGTAGGTAACTGTTACTTATTGTCGGTATGTTACCAATATTGTGCTCTTTATTGATAATTAAACATGGACCTGCAGATTATCAGCGGCGGTAAACAATTACGAAAATAAATACCGTTATTTTATAAAAATCCTAATTAAAGATATTTATATATCGGGATTTTTTTAAATAAGACTTTTGTCTAGAGAATCGAAATATATTTTCCATAAGGTAACTGTTTTACCATCTCCGGTAACAGATCATTCGTCGGTAATTTAATAGGAAATTGCATCTTTACCTCATTACCTGTCACTTTTCTGAGATGGCGCTTTTAATATTGACCGATAAACATAAAGATTGTTGTCTTTTTCAAATTTCGGTAATGTATATTATTAATTATAAAATAAATTAGTAGATGGAATTACTGTTTAATTAACTATTATTCTGTTTTGAAAAAGACTGAGAAGAATACAAAATAGATAACAGTTGGCACAACTTTTAATAATTCTTTTGTTATCGATTGAAAAAAACTAAAAAGTATTTTTATATGTACATAATAAGATTATCGTTAATCGTTAGTCTCACACTGATTTCTTTTTTAAATTATCAATTATTACTTGCGATACAAATTTACTTTTTGGAGTTATTCCAAACAATATTAGATTATAATTTTCATAAAAAATCATTTGCGAAATGATCAATGAAATATATGAATCTATTTAAACATATGTCAGACTCTACAATTTTTCAGGACATTGAATTCTTTATTAAAGTATTAAATTTTTTACTGTAAAGAATACAAGTGTCCATAAAAAAGTTGCATTTTATGTATAACAGCAGTAAAAATTTGTATATAACACAGTCATCATTATCAGCAATCATTGACTCGCACGGTACAGCAACTCATTCTTCATCTAAAAATCCAAAATCGAAAGGACAAAAAGTAATCCCTAATCAATTTTTTCCATTGGAGCGCAGTTACCGAGCCTGGGAAAAAAGTAGCTATCTCGGCAGAGCACTCGTCGGTCGTTGCCGAAAAAGCATATATATACATGAGAGCAGAGTGCAAAGCTGTGCCTCATCGCGAAAAACAGAGAAAGAGGAAAACTTGGCGAAGAGAGACAGAGAGCGAACCCTAGCAACGCACATGCGCCCTTGGTTCTACGCGGGGGATTGGCCCGGAGTAACACCCCCTTATAATGGGTTCACCCGTCCGCGATGGAGCGAGAGGGGGAGAGGGAGCCTGAGGAAGCCATATTGATTTCCCTATGTTTCTCTCTCTCCGTGCACGCGTTCTCTCTCTCTCTCTCTCTCTCTCTCTCTCTATATATATATATATATATATATATATATATATATATAAGTCTGTGTTGCTATAGCGCTCCGATTTGCTATATGTAACTTTGCTATCGACAACTGCGATTGGGAGTTCTTTCATCCTTTCTTTTTTCATTGCGCCTGCGACATTTTTAAAAATATTTGTGTTAATGGACTGTGAGATGAGTATTGTGGTTCTAGGAAGTCCAGTTGATTGTTTCATCAAAAATGACGGTGATAAATGAGAACGGACGGGGAGAGGTTTAATTTCGCCTCGTATTCCAAATTTATTTGTAAAATGCCGCGTATCTGAAGTCAATTTTTTTGGAAACCTTGTGTGTTTTTGCTTTGGAACCTTGTGTTGTGTGCGTCTACACGTATAATCTTTTGTATAATTTTAAACAATGCCAATTTTGCGCATTATCGCTTATATATTGCTGTTTCACTAAAACGTTTTTATGCTAATAATAATAAAAATATTTTGAAAGAAGGAATGTTTAAATGTTTATTTATTAATTTGATTTGCGGCCAAAGCAAATAAGTTACGCACACTTCTAAAATTAAATGAATAGAAAAACGATCAT